CAGGGATGCCCAGGGTGGGATTGTTGGGGTGTCTGTGCAGGGCTGGGAGCTGGGCTGGGTGATTCCTGGGGGTCCCTTCCAGCTCAGGATACTCCATGATTCCATGATCCTCAATGTCTCTGCTCACAGACCTCTCAACTCCCAGCCCCAAACTCCCCAGATCTGCCTGCTGCAAATGCCAGAGAAATTTTAACCTGCCAGCAGCTGGGAGCCTGTTCCACTTGAAAGGTTGGAGGTGAGGAGGGAAAAAGGTGCCAATCCCTCAGTTTTGGTGAAGCAGTCTCTGTGCTCGGAGAGGGAATCAGGGGATGCTCCATCATCTCCCTCTGGGAATGGGGATGCAGGAAACACCCCAGGGCCCCCTACACCGCTCAGAGGAGTTTCACCTTCATTTAAAGCATTTCACTGGAGAAGCAGGAGGGAACTCAGCAGTTTTTTTTGGGAAAATAAACCCAGACTAATTAAAAATTTCTTCATTCTCCATCAGGAATTGGAGGATGGAAAATGTTTGGCCTGCCTGGAGTAGTTCAGGCTTTAAGGAAAATATTCCCAGTCCTCCATAGGCTGCCAGAGTCACACCCCTCCTGTCCCCAGGAGTCAGGGGCCACCAGACCCTGCAGAGGGGCCACAGGAACCCTTTGGATGTTCCTGGGAGAAAGGCAGGAGCATCAGAGGCCCCAAGGAATGGTTCTGGTGGTCTTTGCTAACCTTTATTTAAAGTTTTACAATTCAAAATCTGCTTCTAAAGCATTTTACCCAGGTTCAGCCACTCCCCTGCCCCCACCAGACTGCTCCTGTTCCCAAGGGCAGGAATGGTAATTCCAGCCTGGGTAGTTCCCTGGTCACTGCCCAGGCTGCTGCTGACCCCCAGCTGTGCTTATCTCCACGAGATGGGATCAGTTTTAATCCAGCCCGAGAGCCCAGTGATGCAGAGAGGGAAGGGCCCATCCATTCCTTCCAGGGAATATTGGGGTCACATCTCCAATCTCTGTGCTCTGGGCTCAGGTTTGCATCAGCTGTGAATTCCTGAAGTTCAATTCTCTTTGTGTCCCTGCCTGGCCGGGCTGCCGGGAGGGAAAGGTGGGGAGGCTGCTCAAAGCATCAGCTCATAATTCCAGGAGCCTTTGGAGCAGGAACGAATCCCTGAATCCGATCAGACTCTGCCAGCTGCAGGGAAATCTCCTTTCATGTGCGGTCCTGAGAGCTCAGTGCAGTAAATATTGCACCCAAATCAAGTGATGGGAAAACAAACTCCTGACAGCTGAAGGCAGAAGAGTGTGAGTCATTGCAGGGAGCCAGGAGAGGATTTTAGGAAGTCAAACGTGAATCTGGAAAAGTTTACACGCGAGTGAGACTGATCCAAATGCCAGGGGAAAATGCCAGGGATAAGGCACAGCTGTCCAGAGCTGTCCAGGCTCTGCTGTGGAATATCCACCCAGCAGCTCCAGCTGAGGGCCCTGTGCAGGCACACCCATCCCAAAAGCTGCTTTAACAGCGCTCAACCTTTGAGCCTTGAGCAGAGCAGAACACCCCACCCCCTTCCCCATTTGGGCCTTTCTGCTCCTCTCAAAGACCTGAACTTTTGGCCAAGCCTGGCACATCCTTCCCAAATCCACTCCCATCACCAAACGGAGCCTTTTCCCCTCCCCACTCTATAAATACCACTTGTGCAGAGGTAGATGTGAGCTATTTATAGGCTGAACACACTGTACAGGGAGCAGTGTGACCTCAGGCAGTGCCTCCTCTTTATCTTGCCATGGAGCAGCTCCTCCTCATCCCCTTCTCTTCCCCGGGGTTATTCCCAGGCTCCTGCAGGTGCTGCCCATCCTGAGCACCCTCCCTGAAGCCAGCCCTGCTCCCAAACCCCACCCCAGGGCGCTGTGGCCCCTGCCTGCCCCTCACCTTCCTCTCCAGCTGTTACATTTCATTACCCAAAGCTAAAAATACAGCGGCACTTTCCCCCGATGACTCTCCCCACCAAGTCACCATGGCAACAGATGCTCCTGGCTCAGAGCTGCGAGGGGATGTGGTCCATGGAGTCAATCTCTCCACAGACACTGCCAGGGCTTCAGAGAAGCTTTGGGATGTTTCCCATTCCAGCGTCTCCACAGGGATACTTTGCCCTGATCCAAAAAAGCAGAGCCCTGTTCTGTCTTTAAGGATCACAGGGGGAGGGTGTTGAGGTTCTGCTGCCCCAGGAGCTGCCCTCTCCTCTCCCCATGCCCAGCCTGGATGGCAGCAGGGAAAACCAAGCACGTGGATTTCCCCTCCCTGAGGGGTCAGAAATCCCAGTATTTATTCCTCTTTCCCGAAGTAGTGTCTTCATTTACTCCCAAATGTGGGCAGCTGACACAGAACTGTATTAGAGGATAAGGGCAAAAAGAAGAGATCCCAGGAAAAATCAGAGAACAGGAAGTTCATCCTGCCCCATGGAATCCCAGAGTCCTGGAGTGATTTGGGTTGGAAGGGACCAAGGCTCATCTTGTTCCAGTATCCCAGACTGCTCCAAACCCCATCCAACCCTGGCCACCCAATTATCCTGATTAACAGCTTTGTTAATGACCTCAAAGAGGCAGCGGCCGCAACATGAATTAAATTCCCAAATGATCTAAGGCTGGGAAGAATTGGAAGGGTGAAAGTCCAGCAAGGAGAAAGGAACAGTCAGGGTTTGGGGGCAGAAGGGGCTGAGGCAGCAGGAGCAGAGCCTAAAAGGTTTCCCAGGAAAGTTTATCCTGAGTTTCTCCCTGGGTGTGGAGATTTCTGTTCCACAGGAGCCCAGAGCACAGCACTCCCTTCCCAGAGTTGTTTGAGTATTCCAGAGCTGTGTAGGGACAGGGGGAAGATGTGTTCACCTTTAATTCATTCCCTCTGTGTCCTCCCATTGAACAGCTGTACTTTACAGCTTCTCGATTACCGTCCAATCACCCCCCGCCTCCTCCGGGAGAAGGAGGGAAGAACCCGGGAAAAGGAGAATTTTCATTGCCTTTCTGAAGGGCACAAACAGCTCTGCCACAGCCGGCCCGGTCCGGCCCGGCGAGTGCTGAACTCCCCCAAATCCCCAAAATCCATCCTCATCACCCCTGCTCCTGCTTCTGCTCCAGCCCCATTTCCCAAAATCCATCCTCATCACCCCTGCTCCTGCTCCAGCCCCACTCCCCAAAATCCACCCCCATCACCCCTGCTCCTGCTCCAGCTCTCTCTCTGCTCCTGCCCGACCTTCCCGCTCCTCTCGTCTCCCTGGTCAGGTTTATTTCCAGTGATTTCCTTCGGCAGCCATCGTAATTCTGTTGTGTCTCTTGGAGGAGGAGGAACAATGATTCCCTGGAGAATTTATTCCATCACATCCCCTGGCGCTGTAAATCC